CAGAGCGTCCTTAAATTCTCCACGGCTACACTCTGCAGGGAGCATCTCTGTACCTCCTTTGCATCACAACAGTTCTAAACTGATTTCAAAGTTTTGAGTCAGCTAGTCTGCTCCTCTCTGCTTGGAAAGTCACTGGCAAGGTCAGCCTGCTACAGCTGCAGATAAAAGGAGCGAAGAATCAAGAGATGATCAATTTGTCAATGGAGTTAGCCGACTCCAGAATAATGAAGATTCTGGAAATAATTAAATTCTTGGGTGCCTTTGCGGTTTTAAAGTTTATTTTCTTTAAAACAATAGTGTAACAGTCACCAGCATATTGTATCATATTTGTGTAACATCACTGCAGTAACACTTTGCAAGCAGAAATATTCCTAATTAGAATACCCTGTCACCCCCCCCATAATCCCAGCTGTGTCTTGCTACAGGGCAGTGTGCAGCACCAATTTCCATCTCTGACACGCTTCCTGGTGATTAGATTGATCGAGTACTCAATACCGAGTATTGAGACCCTGCCTGCAACTCTGTTTGTCATGGAAATCTTGCCTTGCCTCCCAAGCCAGGATAACTAGCCTCAAGGGTGAAGGCCACATTCCAGAGAAAATGGGCAACGTCCCATGGGAGAGATCCCCGTTTGCAGGTTCTTCTGTCACAGCAAATGGTGTCATTTATTCATATTCTATGCATAAGCAATCTGCCATTATTCTGGGGACCAACCACCCTGTCTGCCATTAAGATAAATCCCGGAGGTAGATAATTTTATGTTCCCTAGAGAACATCAGAGAACAAAAGGCCAGAAGACGCAATACACAGCATTACAAATGCAAGACACACACCTCAGAGACGTCAAAAGAAATATCAAGTGTGTTCCCATAATTCCTGGATGGACACTGTGCTGAGACCCTGCAGCTTATTGGATTTAAAAAAAACACCCAACGTAAAAAAATCAATATGTTGAGGAGTTTGAGATGTTAAGCATCACACCACTGAGGACCGATAGTTTGCCTTTGAAGAAGAATCACACACATTTCACTGCAGGTCTTTGCTCATCTTTGACAAATTCAACCCTCTGCCCCTCTGTACCGGAGCGAGACAACTCTCGGGCTTCAAAATCCACTACTAATTACGGGAGAAGACCTTTACCACATGCACAGCTAGAAATCCAAATGGGTTGTTAAATGTCAAAAGCAAATGCTAAGTACCACAGTGATCTGTGCTGCATGTCGCAGACAAACACCCCTGCTTCACAGGCGATCGCTGGGAAAAAAGATCCATTCCACACCCTGTCCTGCCCACACAGGAACTCCATGAGCAGCAGAGACAAATGCTGAAGTCGTAGGATTTTCATGGTACTCCTGGGATGAGGCTTTATGGCCCAAACGCCTTTTAAAGGGTACAAGTCTAAGGATGCAGCACTTGAGATTCGGCCAATTCTGGTAACACGCTGCAAATGTCTGGCAGCTGCTCTGCCTAATTCTCTTCCACTGCAGCTTCCTGCAGGTACTGTGTGCTCAGAGCATGGAACACGGAGACCACACCAGGAACAGGAACTGTCTCACCTTCATTGGCAAGATCAGAGAGAACACATTCTAGCAGAGCAAGGCAGTGTTAATGTCCAGACTGTACAATAAGGAGGAAAATCTCCCCTCACTATCACCCAGATGACTGTGTTTCTAGATTTCCTGTTATTTGCTCCTAGTCCAGCGAGGAAGTGTTTATCAGCTCATACTTCCTGTTTCACTAAGGTTAAACAGAGGGTATGGGGGGTGGCTGTGGAAGTGAGGATGATGGCAGGGGCATTTCATCTAAAACTATTGTTTTTGTGGAACATAAATCATTACTAGGCTCTGAGATAAAGTAAGAGAAATAAAATTATCTGGTAAAATTCTACATCCTCGTTTTGCAAGTACACCAATATGCTTCTGATTCCAATCCTAAAAAGGTCTCATGTGAAAACAAGAATGTTTTACGCAAGAATTGCAACACTAGAAACAATGTGGTCTTGGTTTTCCTACTCAGAATCAAAGCGAGAGGCCCAATGTCATCATTACAGTCAGTCAAAAGCAAACACGCTCAGAAACGCCTCTTTACTGTGTAGTATGGCAAAACAAATGTAATCAAATGGAAAGACTGCCACCTTGTGGTCTTTACAACTGGATTGCGCCATAAAATTATAACTGGCCTCCTAGTATGTCCACATACAGTAAGTAACAAGTAACTTCACAAATGTCTCCTAATTGGAAAG